AATTGAATTTATAAATTTAATAAATATAGAAATATATCATATTTATAGAAATTTTATAATGAATCATCGTATAATTCTTATACGTTGTAAAAATAATTTTAATGTAAATATATATAACAACAAAATAACAGTAGTTTGAAAAATTAAAAGTTTTGTGAAAATTATTCAAAATTATAATAGAAAATTAATTCATAAATTTATTATTTTCGGAAAATATTATTTTTTTATTATTTTTTAATTAGTACTTAAATATTAATATTTTTTATATCGTTTTTTTTTAAAACATAATAATCCTGTAATACATATGAAATGAATTTTTATTTTTTGCTTTGCTAGTTGCAAATAGATATTTCAACAAATTTCAAACAAATGTCAAAATAATAAGATAAGATAAAATAGTAAGATATAAAATTATTATAATTCAATAAAACATATTTTAATCAATATTTTCATCAAATTATTTACTATAATATATCATAATATACCAAAAATAATCGAAAATAATGAAGAAATAAAATAATCAATATATTAAAATAAAAATCATGAAAGATTAAACGATTTAAAAATTAAACGAATATTCCAATTAAAAGAAAAAAATAAATAAATTTTCTTCTATATAGATGTTCAATTCTTAATTTATAATTATGATTTTTGAATAAATTATAAATTTCTGTACAACAGGAAAATACAGAAACACGAAATCAGTTTGCGATACATGCATCTCTCACTTACATTTCACTCCGTTTACGTTTTTTCGTTTACTTATCATTAATCTTAGGATGTCGTCGAGAGTATTTTTATATTCGTGCGAAAAGTTAGGTATGCGATAGTTACAACTATTGGCAGTTTTTGAAAATGAATGTGCATCCTTTTCTAAATACATATACGAGCAAAAGTTTTAAGCTTCTATCTTGTTTTTTTCTTTTTCTCTATCTCTCTTGCTTGTCGCTCTTCTATCCTCCATTCCTTTTTCTCTCGCTGCTTGCTTCATCTTCCCCTCTTTCTCCTCGTCTAATTTTCCTTGGTGCGATGAGAATTAGTTCAATGGCACGATTTCGCCCTCCGCTGGAAACGTCGCATTCTACGATGCCACTCGTCGCGCCATTCGATCACAATCGACCTTTGGGTTACTGTCAGCCCACCTTGACCTCCACCGTCGCTCTCTTGGCCAAGAATCAAGTACGATCTAAAAATTGATGTTTTTTAATCGTTCATCGTCGTTTATTATTCTTCAACTCTTTCAAAATTAATAAGACAATGCAAAGTAATTTTTAAGAAAATTGATGGGTTGTTGGTAGATATGGTTTTTAGAATCATATATACTTGAATCTCATAATCCGAAACTTTAGAAACTCAGAATGTTTATTTATTTTTTTTTTAAAGTAAATCCTTTTTTTTATTGAGAATTGAAATTTGGAAATTCAGAATGTTTATTTCTTTTTTTTTAAGAAGTAGATCTTTTTTTGTTATTGAAAATTGAAATTTTAATTAAAAATTTTAATTAATTTTTAAAATTTTTCAAATTCAAAATAATAATATTCATCTTTTTGAGTTTAACGAATTGAAATTGTAATTATGAAATGAATCAACAGCCTATGTATAAACAATTATTATTAAGTAAAAAAAATTTATATTGTCACAATATTCTCTATATGCTATTTGCAATACATTCTTATCATATCATTTAAATTGTATAATTTATAACATTATCTAGCATTTTAAATTTCAATGATACGGATGTTAAAAAAGTTATATAGGTATAAGATAATATTGCTGTTTTGTTTGTTTCAAGTTCTAAAGAGCAAAGAAAATATATAGCCGAGGAAAAGTTGATCAACAAATATCGGATAAGGTACATGATTCTGGTCACGATTTATGGAAGCGAAAAGTTAAAATTTCATCTAACATAATTGTTTTTTTTAATCAATGTTACTGCAGTAGATATTAAATCAAGAGTTGAAAAAATTTAGAAAACAAAAATTTAAGAAATAATATGTATTATATATAATATAATTTTTATTTTCATAAATTTTTCTGTTAACTTCTTAAGTTACAATCAATGGTATGATATCTCGTAATTAATGTCTGATATGTAATGACTTTTTTAAAATTATCTATATATTTTTTCATTTAGATGAAATCCATTAGTTTGCAAAAAATGTCGCTTTATTAAGTATCAATAGTTAATTATAAAAAGTTATAATTAAAAAAGATTATGATTAAATAAAAAATAAAAAGATTATGATCAAATAAGATCTAATTGTAATTTTCTAAATTTTTAATTGTTTAATTAATTTAATTATTTTGTTTGTGCATGTTTTGTTCGATAGTTATGAAGATATTTTAGAAAATAAAGATCTTACAGAATCATTACAACATTTATACAACGAATAACTTACCTATTTGGCTTGATTTTTGGGCATCTACAGGCTAAATCAGCCGAATGTACGTAAAGGAATACATCGCCACGACGAATCCTCGAATTTGGAGATTTTTTATATATAAAATCAACATTCAAAGTGAAACGTATCCAAACTGAACCGGAAACGCTTATTCCAGCTGAGGAGCCGTCGTTCTTTTTGTGCCTGTCTGTTATTCTGCCTAGAATAGCTAAATAAAAAAAAAAAAAAAAAAATCAAGAAATTTACAATAATTATAATTATAAAAATATTTGAAATATTTTTTCTTTTTTTTAAATTTTTTCTTTTTTATTTTCATTAGTCTCGTTTCTATTTATTTCCAAATTAAATTCGAAAGAATATAATTTAAACATTATTTTTAACTTTTTTGCTTATTTTGATATACAAGAAAATAAAAAGAGTTGTTCTATTTATGGTTACTTCGTCTATGAATGTTGACAAACCAGTATCCTTTATAGTGCAACGAATAAACTTATTTCATGCCATATGTAGTACTATTTATCATTTCACTTCTGTTCTACTACTTCACTTCTCGACCAGAAGTCGAGAAAAATACTATTTGCTTTATTGATTGTATAAAAAATAAATCGAAAATAAGCGTAATAGGTAATAATAAGTTCTATTAATTTCATTGATGAGATTTAAAGATATGATTATGTTAATATTAATGACACAAGAACTAGCAATAAATGGAAATTAAAGAGCAATATTTAAATGAAATATTCGCGGTTATTTAAATAATATAAAAATAGATATTTAAATATAATAATAGAATAATTAAAAAATTATAATTAAAAAGTATTGTTATTTAAATAATATAGAATATATAAAATTTTATCAATATTTGAACTAATTATTTAAATATTTAAGAAATTAGGAAGAAATTTCTTTCTTTTAATCACTAAGAGAAATAAAAATATTTGTATTATGGCAGGAAATAAAATTGTATATTTCGATATTGAATATTTTGATATTTTTGATGCTAAACAAAACTTTACAAAGTTTTACGGAAATAAGTCTAATTTAGATTAAAAATTAAAATAAATATCTAAATTTGTAAAATACAGTTTATAGAATATGATGAATATAAATAATACAAAAAAAAAAATAAATTTAGAAAATGGAGTCACATCATTTTTCATATCATTGTTATCAGAATATTTTTTTTTTAATAATGACATTCGTTTTCAATTTGTACTTACCATAATCTCTTTTGCAATATTTGTTTAGGTTTAATCTTTTAGTGCTGGCGCGACATTTTCCACATTGATCTGTAACAAAATATAAAATATTAGTTCGTTATTTTTTGTATTTAATTGAAAAAATTTATATTTGCAATTTTTCATCTCATCATTTATATTATTATTATCATTATTTATTATAACTTTTTTAAAAAATGATGCTAATACATAAGTAATTTGTGTTCAATGCTCGTCTAAAAAAAACCAAGTATTTAAAAATTTCGTAACATTTTTTTTTATTTTTATATTGTGTTCCTGAAGATTTAATAAAAAGTATCTTATATCTTATTTATTATAAAATTTTATATTTATACTTTTGCTGAAAATAGCTATAATATAAAATTTCTTTTTTAAATAAAATTTGAGTATTTGTATTTAATTATAAGTTTAATAATTAGATTTTTTTATTATATTTTTTAATACATTTTTCTCTTATAATATAGAAATATCATGATATGGATAAAAATATCAAATTAATTGATATCTATTCTTTTATATTATTCGATTTTTACCATTCATTTAATTTTTTAATTTTTAAATAAATATTCTTATAAACAGGAGATCTACATGAAATTATTATAGAAAGATTTTTATCAAATTTCATAATTTTTTATATATGTTCCATTCTTTGAATTAATATGACATATATTGTAAAAATATTTGATTTTGTTACATTACATGAATGTAACAATGAAAAATTTACAATTACTTTTAGAATTACTAGTAGACAAAATCCAAAAATTAAAAAAAAATAAAAAAAGCTTAAAATATTTCATTAACGCAGATAATTTCTTCAAAATCTATTAAAATAATACAAGTTATTTACTGATATTTATAGTATTAATATTTAATTTATAGTATATAATTTATAGTATACTTATAGTATAATTTCATAATAAAAAATTAAAAGAAAAATTTTTTTATAGTCTACACATTGAATTTGAGATGTACGTGATATTATTGCAGATTTTCACTGCATTATTACAAAAATTATCATATAATATTAATATAAACAATTTATATATCAGATTTAAAAAAAAATTGTTCTCACAATACGTTATGTAGTTACACATAATGTAGTATTATAATTTTAAGTGAAAGTTGTGAAAAAGAAACGACTCGACAATTAAAAGAAATCAGGTCTATCAGAAAAATCCATCGATTGGCCATTTTTGGTCCTGTGTAAAGAATGGTGTACTTTGAAATGTGAAGAAATCAAAGAAAAAATTTTTAAATATAAATAAAAAAAATGTTATGAATCAATGAAGAGTATCTGTATTAAATCATTAAATTCATAGATTGGCTGTTAACATCGATTATTAATTTATTTATCACTTATAATATTTCTAAATTATAACTTTCTTCAAATTAGAAATATTATAATTATTTGAATTATTAGAAATATCATAATTATAACTTGATATAAATTCATAATTATATAATATTATATTCAAAATAAATAATTCTTTGTGAAAAAGCAAACGAAATTTTTAATATCTTTTCAATAATATATAATATATATATAATATAATATAATTATAGATGTAGTATAATCTATAATTTATTCCTTTAAAATTTTATTCCTTTATTACAAAACTATAAATCTTTATTACGAATATATTTACATATTTTATATCTTACTTATTTTTTTATTTTCATTTAACAAATGTATAATTGCAAACGATATTAAATTACGATACATTTAATTTGTGATATAATTCTACGATACATTATTCCTTTTATCATTATAAAATATATCATAAAAGTTATTTCATTAGTGAAAAATAATAGATAACAATGTTTTAAATATTTCAAAAATTGAACTATAGGATCTATAGAGTATACTCTATAGAAACTATAGAATAATATTTCATTTCTTATTTATTATATAATATATTATACTATTAATTAAAATTATTATATTATTAATTAATTTTTTTTTTGGTTAAACTCGGTTAAGTAGAAATCAGCTTTCAGTTTTCTTATTCTTCTAACACTTAATATAGTCCATTATTGGTGATAGCTGTGGTTACGTTTATCCATTTATTATCTAGCCGCAATATCCATCTATTATCTCAAACAGCATGGTCAGCGTGCAACATATCCGTGTCTTAGAGTAGCGCAATTAATTTTAACTGGAATATGTCCAGTTATTTTTAACCTGATCATAATTAATAATCTTTACTAAGAGCATACGTAATATATACTTAGAATGCATCAAAGAAAGAAATATTAATTTTAAGTGATATAAGAATAATTATAAAAATTAAAAATATAATAGTTATCAATAATTAACAAAATTTTTGTTGTTTTATAGATGAAATTAGAAAGGAATTTTTTTTATTTCTGAACTTTTTTATTTAACTACACTCTTAATAGCAAAAAATATTGTGTTCAATTAGATCAGTTAAAGACATTCAGAATCATACCAGAAAAAAATTGTTTTTCATTAAAACAATAAAGCAATGTACAATTGCATATATTTTTAATGTAATGTCGTGATAAAAATTATTTTAATATGGATAATTTAGCTCATTATATCATTATATTATTACAATTAAAATATTTTATATATTATAATATGAAATATATATATATTATAATAAATTATTATTATATTTTATTATTATTAATATATCATTTATACATTATATTTTATTATTGATTTTTATTTTTTTTACATATTTCAAAATTTTCATAATGAAAAATCATTAGAGAACATTAAAGAAATAAAAAAGAAATTTTATAGTAAAAGAATATCTAAATTTATAATATTTTGCAAAGGACTTTTTCGCAAAGTATAACAAATTAAGTATATTAATTTTTTTAATATATTATAATAATTGCAAATGTTAGATCAGTCAATAAAAAAATTATTATTATTTTTATTGTTAAAAGAAATACATTCGAATACTATTTCTCAACATATTTGTGCATTTCTTTGCTTTTTCAAAAATTTGTGTTCGATTTCTCAACATTGTTTTAATTTTACATCCTTAATTCGTATATATTAAAATAATTCCAAATTATATTTTCTTTCATTCGAGAAAATATATGAAAATTATAATGATTTGTCTAAACAAGAAGGATATGTTAGAAATAATTTGTTGATTTTTATGTACTATTTATAAAAATAAAAAGTATCGATATATTTTAATTCTTGAAATAATTTTATGTAGATCTTTGAAATAGGATTTTCTTTTTAATTTTTAAATATATTAAAAAAAAAAAAATAAAAATTGAAAATGAAATATGAAATATTTTTTTATTATTTATTTGTATGCTAATTCTTATATTTTGCTAAAAACAGTTTTTTATTTTCAAATCAATTAAATATTGAAAATTAATTGAATTGAATTTTGAAACTGTTGTTCCACACAGTTATAAAAATTAATTTAAAAAAATATACATTAATTTTATATCTTGCACATTTTTCATCTAAATAAACTAATCTCACAAGTATTACTTCCATTTTACTTCTTACATTTTGTTATTTTATTTTGTTATATGTAATATTGATAATACAAAATAAATTTGATAATACAATATTGATAATACAAAACATTGTCGATATGTTAACATATTCCTCCATTCATTATTTCTTCATCAGATGATGGCTGCATCAAACGAATTGATAATAAAAATTATTAAAAATATAAATAAGCAAAAATGAAATGTTTACAGAAAAAATCGAAAGAAATACAAAGAACACATTTTCATTTGTAAATTTTATACCATTTTAATGAACTACAGATCGATAATAGAATCCGTATAATGTACCGAATCTCCCGAACTACGAATCCAAATTGTACGTAACTAGTACACACGCGTTTCGCTCCACTTCGCTTTTGCTTGTTCGTTGGCTAACCAAATTAAACGTAATTTGAATTTTGTTTGAAATTCAATCGATACTCCCGTTGGTAGACGGGTTAGCGCGCGTTATCCGCTAAAAAATAATGAAAATTCTACACCCATACAGAACCATAGTCACGTTCCATCAAAAGTAATAGAAAGAACATTGCATCTCCTAGATGTTGATATTTCGTACAAACGTGACTTTTCATTTCGTTTTATATTTTATACAAATATTTGTGTACTTATTTTTGAAAATTAGATTTCTTTTGATTAAGTTTTCAAATAATGGAATTTATAGAAGTTTATTAGGAATTTTTAAAATTTTAAATATTGGAGATTTAGATAAAGACATCTTTTCACAAATTTTCCTAAAATTTAACATTTTTAAATGTATCAAAATGTTCAAAATTATATCACTGATGAATAATTTTATTAAATAATCTTTAATATTAAATTTAAACGATATTTAAATAGATTAATACAAAAAAGATTACACTATTACGAAATATTCAATTGTAGAAAATTTGAATTAAGCTGCTTATGGATTTAAGGATTAAAAATTTACTTCTATAAATTTTTATAAATCGGTAGAAATGGATTGGATATTTAATTTTTTTAAATTTTAGATACGTAAATATTGTTTTTATATTTTTTATATTAAAATTATTTCAATGAATATTAAAAAGTGGATATAGAAACAATTCGAATTTTAAAAAAAATCTTTATATGATAAAAATGAAGATACAATAGAACGTCGATTATCTAAACTAATTGGATAATATGTAATAAAATGTGAAAAATGAATGATAAAAATAAGAAAAGACAGAAAGAATATAATAATAACGATTAGGAGATAAATTTATTGAAATAAATGATTTTCTAGATAATCGATTAGAAAAAATCAAATATATAGCATAACAATTAGAAATTAAAAATTAACAATTTTCAAATATGAATGTTTATTTTATTATGAATAATACAATTATACAAAATAAATTCTTTCTAGATACTATATACGTTTCAGTATACGTGTTCTGAAGCATATAAACATCGTTATATATGCTAATTTAAATATATCGTACACATATATTTTGCTGTTATTTGAATAACCGAAATTCGAATAATCGGCGTTCGAACAATTTGATGTTCTACCTTATCGATATTTTTATTTCGAT